ATATATATAATAATAAAAAAATTAAAACAAATTATAAGCAAAAGAATATTATTATAAACACGTAAGGAATGGCTCATTTATAATAGGAACAAGCGTCTACAGGGCAGGACAGTTGTAGTCCGATCCTGATAAATTTTGATCATAAGGTGACATACTGTAAACGCGCTATTCGTGCAAAGTTTGATTTTTTAGATTCACATACTGGAAAGTGAAAGAGACAGACTTTGAAAATGGAGTTATATAGAAAAGAGGAAATGATTGTAGCCCGATTTCACCAATTTATATTCTGTAACGTAGGAATATCAAGAATTTGGCTGAAATTGGTCGAGTAGGTCACCGAAAGGTAGGCGGGGCCATGTTAATCGTCCACTTTTGACACCGGCAGTGAAGTCGAGGGCAAAAGATAATATCTCTGAGGCATTTTCTTATTGATGTATCATATTTTTCTTTCCAATTTCATGCATTTTCACACTATCGAGGAAATAACGAAAACATTTTTTCTAAGAAAATTTGGTCCATTTGGCTTAAGTGGTTTGGTAAATATGCAAATGAAATATTTTAGAATTTTTAGATTTTTTAGAATTTAGAACACTTTTCAAAAATTCTAAAACCAAAGATGCTCCTCGCTGAGATCGCTGAAGTCTGCTGTACAAAATGACAATTTAGTACCTTTATTTAGTGATAAGTTATGGCACTTTATATGTTTTCACTGAACTACATGTTAAGGGCAGGGCAGTGAATGCAATATCAACTCTTCTTGAGTTTCATGGAATACGCGTGTACGAAGTTTGCACTCGTCTCATCTTCCTGATCATTTACAAACTTTAATTTAAACAGGAATTTTTTAAACTAGTCTCTATATGTTGACTGATGCGTTAGAATCTGCTATTTCGCTATATCGGTTGTCCAGTGAAAATTTCATGACATTTCATTAATTGGAAGTGAAGTTATGCGTTTTAAGTGTCGGTATGTTTGTGTTATGGATGCGAAAATGAGCTTCGAACAAAGAGCCAACAAAAATTTTGATTTAAAATTGGTAAAACTTTTACCGAAACGTTTCAATTGATGAAACAAGTTTATGGCGAGGATTGCCTATCCCGTAGCAGAGTGCACGAGTGATTTAAACGTATACAAAGTGGTCGTGAGGACATAAATGACGATCCACATGTGATCGCCAATCAAAATCCGTCATCGCTGGAAATTCCATCGAAACTATGGATAAATTTATCTAAAATCAGCCGAAATCATCATTAAAATTGATGGAAATGGAATTGAATATCTCCATCTCCAAACATCGATTTCTCGCATTTTTACCGAACATTTGGGCCTACGAAAGGTGTGTGCATGGTTTGTTCCGCACAAATTGAGTGATGACCAAAAATTGCTCAGAATCGATCCACGCTTGTGACTGATTATTTGACCAAAAATCATATTTTAACCATTAACCAATCCCCGTGTTCACCTGATATGGCACCGACTTCTTCCCTTTCGGAAAAATGAATTTGCCCATGAAAGGAAAGCGTTATGCAGACGTAGAGGCCATTCAAAAGGCTTGCACCGGCATACTGGCAGCCATACCGGCCAACGAGCTAAAACACACGTTCGACATACTTTTGGACCAGCGGTATTGAAGCAGAAGGAGACTATTTTGAATAAAATAAATTGATTTTGCCAAAAAAAAAAACAATTGTTCTGTTTTTTTTTTTTTTAAGTTCTGCTTACGATACAAAAAAACCTTAGTTGAACAAAACTATTATAGTCTGTAGCAATATGTTGAAAGAGTATACAAATATAATAATCAATAAAAATATAAAAATAAATAATAAACAAAAGAAAACGTTAACTTCAGCTGCTGTGGAGCTTTAAGATTCTTCACATGTATATTTCCTATAGCATAAACGAGTATACAAAGATCTTTATCTTGATATTGATCTGAACAATTTAATCGGAGATTGTACCGTTGCTTTGACTATAACTATATTACATGAAAATATCTCAAATAAAAAAGTTTTGCACAGTAATTTTAGTGAAAATTTCTAGCCAAATAAAAAATATTTCATACAGGGACTTAAGTTTAAACGATCTGTGACTGTGAGTACGGCAGCTATACCCTATACTGATTCAATATCGGCGCTTCCGATAAGTAAACAACTTCTCGAGGAGAAAAGTAGGTGTGCAAAATTGCAGATCAATATCTCAAAACTGACTAGAGGGCGTATTTATTCGAAATATTAAACAGGCTTGAGAAGTTTCTTAACAACAAAAATTAAAAAGTAAGAAAAAATTATATGAAAAATGTAAAAAACATGATAATTTAAATATAAAAACTATAAAGGTCTATAATTATAGATGAAGAAAGAAAACAATGATATTAAAGTCTTTAAGGTAGTAATATGCATCTTCGTATGCATGATTTGGATCGAATATCACCATATTGTAATAAGTACATTCGTGGCCACGCAAAACTTACCACTAAAAATTTTCAAGTATTGCGCATATTTAACTACATTTTATAGCCGTACTTTTTGCGGTATAGAATTTTTTTTTATTTACAAATAAGTTAATGAGATGTTATTAATTAAAAACTAAAAAAAAACACATTAAGCTATAGATATATCAATTGAAAGATAGTGAGCTTTACAAGATGAGCTCGAATGGTAAGAGACTGACATGATGTGAAAAAATGATATTTATACAATCAACAGGGTATATTAGTTGTCACATAGTTTGTAACACTCACAAGGAAGCGTCAGAGACCCTATAAAGTATATATATATATATAAATTATCAGTATGTTGAGCTGAGTCTATTTAGCGAAGTTCGTCCTAATTGGAAAGTGTTACACCTGTCTCTTATACACATCTAGATGTGTATAAGAGACAGGTATATTAGTTGTCACATAGTTTGTAACACTCACAAGGAAGCGTCAGAGACCCTATAAAGTATATATATATATATAAATTATCAGTATGTTGAGCTGAGTCTATTTAGCGAAGTTCGTCCTAATTGGAAAGTGTTACACCTTGAGGCACTATTTATACTAATTCCGGAATCATCTTTTTTGTCTGTCTTTGAATCATTTTCAGTATTTTGAAACAATTCGTCATTATTTCGTGATTTTTTGTGATTAAGACCTCGTTTAAATTTTTTTATTTAATTTTAATTACGCTATATTTGAAATTAATAATTTATTTAATTTTTTTTTTGTAATTGAAACACGAAGTTTAGTAGGTGTATCACTTTAAAAGCATTAAAATCGACTGCTTTTATATAAGCACAGAAAAGCTAATTTGCATTTTACTCATTAGACGTAATAAATTAACAACTATTATTATAATTAAATATAATTTAGTTTACTTATGCTTGCTAAAAACATAAAAAAGTACAAAATTGAAGAAAATTGAAGAAAATCCCGAACGAACGAAAAAGTCCGAAATTTAAGAAAGTATAGTGGTAAGGTTTGTGTGGCCACGAGTGTAATATCACTGCCTCAAAGATTTTGACATCATTCATTTCTTTCACTCAAGTTAATAATGTCGATATGATTGAATTGAAAAATAATATTTCTAGCATATTTTAATGGATTTAAACGCTATTAGTTTTCTATGCAGTGATATTTAGACAGCCGGCACCGATAATAAAAATCGAAAAGGCGAAAGTAAAAATCGAGGAGGAAAAGCAATGGAAAAACGTTAAATTTTAAAATAGTTTTTTGCAAGATTCATTGAACGTTTTCTATTTTCAGGTATAAGAGCATACGCAGAGCATTGTTTCAAATAAAAAACGAAAATATTGAAAACGATAAATGTAAAATTATTATTGGTAAATTGAAAGAAATTCTTCGAGAATTTTTAGTATGTTTTGGAATATAAGTTTTAAAATGAAGCATTTCACATAGCTAAAGGGACCTAGTTAAAACTTTTTTGCTAATAAAAAATATCATAAAAACATGTTCAATCTTTTATAACATTGATTTTCGAGAAACGGTAGACGGAAAAATAGTGTAATAATATTTTTCTGAAAGTTTGGATAGGTGAAGTGATCGCGAGGGAAAATTTCGACTTTCATTGTGGTAATCAAGTCCAAACCGGGTCAATGCGCATAAAGAGTGTTGAAATCATGTGGATTTTTGTTATATACTGATACTACAATCAAAAACTCGTAATCCTTAATAAGTTTGGGTGCAATTAACTACTTTATATTGACTTAAAAATCAATAATGGTTCTATTAAGTCAGTGTTTCAGAAACTCCAAAGTTAAGTGAACACGGCAATGACACCGAATATTTATATAATACATAACATTTTAAGGTTAGGTTATTGTTGATTGGAATTACAATATCTCGTTTTGCCCGAATTGGCCACTGGTAGTAAGTCAGTGTTTAAGAAAATCAATAAAAATTTTTATAAAAGAATATTTAGTAAAGCACACGAGTTGGTTAATAAACAAAGCAGAAGAAATACGAAGAATTGTTGAGCAAATCAGGAAAAAACCGAGAGAGATACACAACACAAAAGCACCAAAGAAGAGATTAGGCCAGTTAAATGTGTGAGAATATTAGTACGTAAAACAAAGTAGAACACAAATACAAACAACCAAAAAGAATGTCAAAAGAGTCAAAAACGAACGAACCCGACAATGAAGCCGGTCTCGGCGTGATATTCGGTTTGGCGTTGGCGGAATTTATATTGGAGTTGGATGCGGATGCAGATGCAGACGAGACCGAGGCAGAAGCAGCTGATTGTTTGGTGTGAATGTTGGGTGGTATTGATGTTGGTGTTGCACAAGTGGAAGAACACGCATAGGCGCAGGCGGAGACAGACACTGATGATGAGGATGACGATGACAATGATGATGATGACGACAATGGTATTGTTGATAATGTCGCATGGTTGTCGGTTTGATTGTGTATATGTGGGTGTTGTGGTTGTTTTGGTTTTTGATGGACAACCAATTGCGCACGCAACGGTAATGGCGGTGTTGGTGGACATTTCAACAGGCGATCAGTGGACGCGCGAATTGCGGGCGTGCATAATAACAATGACGACGGTGATGATGATGTTATGGTGGATGGCGATGGAGATGAGGCACGAATGGCGTTAGATGATTTTTGTGTAGATGACATGGAGGCAGAACGTTTGGGGCGTGTTTTAGCATTATTATTGTTGGTGGTGGTGGTGTGATTTTTGTTGTTCATATTCATGTTGTTGTTGTTGTGTGATTTCAGCGCATGAAATTGATAATGAGTACGATTAGAATGGGTTTGTTTACTGGTCTTAGGATATGCAGATGAAGTTGCTGTTGCATTTCTTCTACTATCACTATTATTATTCATATTTCTATTATTACTACTACTTTTAGTACCATTTTGATAGACAAGCTGTGGCCCTGCTAATGAGGATGATGCGGATGCGGATGCGTTTGTGTGGTGATGGGATGATGCAGCTTTCACTACAAATGCCAAATGATTTGATGGTGATGCGGATGCAGATGCAGTTGTAGTTTTTGTTGTTGTTGCATTCGACATAGTCGTACTACAATTGCGCTTATTTAAGCTAATTGCATTACAATTATTGTTATTGCTGTTGTTGTGAGTGTTGCTGCTGGCACCGCTGCTGCTATTGCGATTGCCAAGGCCATTGCCGACGCCGCTGGTGGTTGTGGTGGTGTTGATGCTGTTGGTAGTGGTGTTATTGGAATTGCTATGATTGTGGTTGTGGTTGCTGAGGTATATTGAAGTATTCGTGTTGTTGGCGGCTGATTGTGGTGAATGTTGTTGTAATTGTTGTTGCTCCTGCAACAGCTGCTGCTTCTGTAGCAACAGCTCGTGATGTTGCTGTTGTTCATGCTGCAGTTGCAACTTCAATTTCTGCTTGCGAATTTTCGCATCTAAATCGGCCTTGAAATTGGCCTTTGTCAAAAGCGGTGGCGGCGGTGTGGGCGCAGCCGTCAGCCGCTCGCCCACCGCTTCACAACTACCTCTACAACTACTACTACTACTCTTAGGCACGCTGGCGTTAGCCACTAAACTCAAATTGTGGTCGGCTGCTTGGCCATTGAATATACTCAAACTCGGTTTGGGTGGCGGTATCGCTGCTTTGCGACGTATTATGGTATCTGCGTGCATGTTGTGTGCATTTGGTGGTGTTGCCACCCGTCTACTACCTTCCTCGATGCACGCTGTTTGCGCTTGTGCCGTACCTGCGTTGGCATACTGCTGCTGATGATGACGGTGGTGCGGCGTGCACAGCAATGAGAGTTCGCTGCCGCTATTGTTGTTGTCGCCACAACCGAGCAACTGCAGTTGTTGTTCGCTGGAGGCGCGAAAAGAGGAGAGTCGCTGTTTGGCAGGCGCTACGGTTGCGGTGTGCGGTGGCGAAGTCGGTCCCAAGCACGACAACGACGACGACGACAAGGCCAGCACGGACATCATGCCGGCACCCGGTGCGGCCAAACCATCGTGGGGCGCACACAAACTAGTCGGCAGTTGTGTTAATTCGCGCATTTCCTGTCGTCCCAATTGTTGCTGTAGTGGATCCTTTGTACGCAACACGACAATTTCGGAATTCTGTTTGACATAGTCGATGTCCGGCGTGATGGGTATCTGATGATCGTAGATAACGACGACATTACTGCCGCCATCGCTGCCGTTGTCCGCAGCCTGTTGTGGCGTTTGGTACGTGTCCGAGGTGTGCGATGCGCAATCGTCGGCCGTCGTTGTCGATGACACTGCCATCAACGAGCGATTATCGCCGATAACGCTGCCCACATCGGCGGGCTCATCCACGCCCGACGAGGCGGCTATCGACGATGAGGACACCGCTGTGGCGTAGTGCGCGAAAGTGGGATTCTCGTAGCCGCCCGCCAGCGAACTCGTTTCGCTTACATAGCAACGACTCAGCTCCGAATCGGAATTGTATTGTTGCAGTGTGCGATCGTTATTGTCATTGCCGCCTGTGGCACAACTCTCTCGGCTGCTCAAGCTGGTGTTGTGTTCATTATTGTTGCTGCTACTTTTTGTGTTGTTATTGTTGTTGTGATTGTTATTTATGCTCGTCAGCGAGCCGACATCAGCGGCAACATCATCGGAAGCGGTGTCGGAGAGATCAGTGCCGCAACCGCTCGTTTGATTGCTGGCGCATTGCGGGGATTTGGGTGGACGCGGTGGACAAATAACGGTTAATGGTGTTGTTGTGTCGAAACGCTCCGCCTCTGTCACTGCTGCTGCTGGTAATGTTGTTGTTGCTTTGGCATTGCTGCTCATCTGTTTGTTGTCGGCAACGACGACGCTGTTGCTGCTCGCGCCGATCAAGGGGAAGGGACGATCGCCACAATTGTCGCCCACAGTCTCATCCGCTGTTGGGGTGAGCGTTGTTGTTGTTGCGCGCTTGCTTGCATCGATCTCGCGTTGAAACGAGTCTAATTCGCCAATTAAATTATTTAATTCTTGGATCGAGTCTTCAAAACTTTTATCTACAAAATTGGGTCGGTAGTGGTAGTGGTGGTGGTGGTGGTGTTTGGTGTACGGTTGTTGTTTTGGTTGGTTTTGATTGTTTTGTTGTGAAAAATTGCGGTAATTGTTGTTTTTCGTGCGGCAGAAAGTTGCATGTGTTCACGATATGGTGTGTTTGTTGTTGTTGGTGCGAATTTATATACATTTTGTTGGGGAAGATTTTTAGTTCATAGTTGTTTTTTGTTTTTGTTTATAGATAGATATGTAGTGCAAGTTTGATGTAAGAGTAGATTTTTTTTATTAATTTTTACAAAGAGTTCATTTTGAGAAATTGGGTGGCAATTTTTGTTGTTGGATTTGTGTATGGTTTTTTTGTTTTGGCATTTACATTTCATGTGTTTGTTGTTCACGTAGTTGTGAATTATATAGTGGCGTTTCAGGTGTTGTTGTTTTTGTTTTGTTATAAAACAAAAAACAGTTGGGTATATAATTAATGTTGGGTAAAATGGAGAAGAAAAAAGAAAAGGGGAGAACGAAAAACAAAGAAAATTCAATTAATTAATTGTAGTTTTTGTTGGCAACAAAACTGAACAAAAGTAAAGACAAACAGGGTATATAATATGTACAGAAATCAGACAAAGGGACGCAAGGGCAAGCTTTAAAAGGTCAGAATGTTGAGTTGAATTTTTTGTTATGATTTTTACGGTTTTACTTAACAATATATACATATTTAAAATATATTTAGATACATATATTCAAACATATAATTGTATGTATGCACATCTGTACGATAACTTCAAAGCCACTAAGTCAAAAT